CCACTCCGACTTCGGCGTCCACAGACTCTGTCCAGTTTGAACGAGCAATCAGCAAATTAGTTGTGCAGGACCTGCCTTGGCGAAATCCGTGCTGCTCCGGAACGAGGATGTTGTTTTCCTCCAGGTACTCCATGAGGGCCTCGGCTACAATGGACTCCATGATCTTGGAGATTACCGGAAGAAGGGTAATCGGACGATAATTAGTTGGATCTGCACGGCTACCATTTTTGTGGATTGGACTGATGATCCCGTGCTTCCACATCGTTGGGACGTGCATATCGTTAAGGCATCGCTGAAAGAGTGTCGCCAAAGGTTCAGCTAAGCTCGCGGCGGAAACTTTCAGCGCTTTCGGCCGAATGCCGTCTGCACCCAGGGAGCTAAATTCGCGCAACGACATCAACCGCTTCAATACAGCCGCAGTTGTGAAGGAAATGTGGTTAAGGCCTGATGGCGGAATAAGTTGCCTAGATATGGTGCAGGATGTTTGAACACACTGGAAAGTGCGGCCGAAGTGTTGTCCTAGGACGTTCGCCGCATCCTGTGCCGTATGTGCTAATCCGAAAGCTGTGCGCAGAGCCGGAATTCCGCGCTTAACGCGGCGAAGCTTATTTATGTGTCTGTATAGTAGCTTTGGGTTAACGCAGAACTTTGACACAAGATCTTGTTGGCTCTTTACCTTATCCTCCCTGACGAGTGTGACACAGTGGTTTCTTTGTGTAATATAGGTGTTCCAAGTATCCTCGCTCGGAGAGGCTATATGGGCGCGCCATGCCAGATCCCTCAATCCCATGCATTTCCGGGTCCTGCTTCTGAGAAACGACTTCGCCTTGTCGGGTCGGGGGATTTTGGTTTTAGATGCCAATGCTACGAGCGTGTTGAATTTGCTGACAAATTTCCTGCATACCACTTCTGGGGACCACTCAGTTAAGAAGGACCAGCTCGTAGCACTAATGAGTTCTGCCTGGTTATCGTAGTTACTTACGACGTAAGATTCGACGTTGCTTTCATTAGGATAATCTGCATAACACAAGTATTGGAACAATAGTGTCGCATGATCGCTGCGGCCCAAGGGAGTGGATGTGGTTACTACGTTAATCATCAGTTCCTCATTGGTGAAAACGAGGTCCAAGATGGCCGGTTTGTTTCCTGTCCTGAATCGCGTTGGGAATGTGACATGGTTGTACAACGGTGATCCTGCAATTAGCTCTTGTAGATCGGCTTTGAATGGTTCACTCATGGTGGCTGGGGTTTCTAGGTCGTGCAGATTGAAGTCCCCTACCAGCAAAACATGACTGTATGACCGTTCCAGTAAATTCTTCAAAGCAGAAGACAGGGCCTTGTCGATTTCTAAAGTGAACATTGGTGGACGATATACGATGGCCAATAAGCATTTATCGCCGTGCTTTAGGTGTAGGCAGCACCATAAGGAGTCTACGGTTTGAATCCCAGGGTCGTTCATGAGCTCGATGAGAAGGTCTGAACGGTAGTAGAGAATTACACCGCCGCCCTTGGTGGGTCGATCGTTACGTAGTAGTGACATGCCAGGTAGTTCGATCTCAGCGTCACTAATCATGTCGTTCAGCCACGTCTCAGTTATCATGATGAGGTCCCAACACATTGAGCTATGACGAGATCGAAGTTCTGCCAATTTGCTTAGAAGCCCTTGGGCGTTTGTATAAAGGCTATTGAGAACTACGGATGTTAGAAGCGTGTTTGAACATACGTTGGTTTTTCGAGAATTTACGCCGACCCTTGTTGGGTCGGCTAAGGGACGTTTTTTTGATGCGTCTCTTGCAAACTTTCCGGGGCCGTTACGGTGGGATTCCTACAGCGCCCTGAGTCGATCTGCAGCAGACTGTCTTTTCCTTCTTCATAGAACGGCTGGGGCGTTTCATTGTGTTCCGGTACAGAAATGCAGACAGCGGGGATCGCGACTACTTCTTGCTGGTTTCGTGTTCCCTTATCCATTGGTGGCCTGGTTCCAACCGCCTTCAGACGCATTTCTGATGGCAATTTGGTGCGGAACTTGTGCCAATTCCCGAGCACCGTTTCAACCATTTGTTTGGAGTAAAGCAAGACTTTAAGCACTCGTGGACCACTTCCTTTGTAGTTTGGCGATATGGGTAACCTCGATGTTGAGCTGGCAATTACGTCGTGGAGAGATAGTGCTTCGCGGATATATCGCCACTCTTCCAAGTCATGAGCTTTGACCTGCGACTCTTCCGGTGCCTGTGTTTCGGGGACACCATGGACAAAGATGGATCTTTCATCAGTTTGCTTGCGGTGTTCTCCAGGATTTTGTTTTCGTTGTCGACGCTCACTCCAAGGTATATCCGGGAATATGCGAACTCCGCATGATGAATCACGAAGACGGTGAGCTGACAAGAGGACTGTCTCTGCTTCGTTACCGGACTGCAATGTCACTTGAAGTAGTCTCGGCTCGCCATAGTGAAGTGAGTTGGGGTGGCGGATGATACGACTTAAGCTAGCCTGTTTAGGCTGCATTCCAATTGCTCGGCATATGGATTCCCACTGTTTCATGTCGTCCAGTAGTCTATCTTTGATAGAGTTTGCCTTTGACTCAGGCACGTTAGAGCATATTATCTTCATCGAACTCTGCATCTTCTTGGAGTTCGTACATTTGGATACCGGCATGCCTCCTGTTACCGACGGCGTGGGGGGAAATCTTTTCGTGTACACATTGTTATTAGTGTCGCCTCTAACAACCTTCGGTGTGCTTGCAGACACGCTGGTTAAATTTGCCACGGGTGGACAATCAGCGACGATATTTGCATAGGTAGTCGGACTACCTGTGTTATTCTGTAAATCGGAATGCACTGGAGTATCATGAGCCACAGCCATATCACTCGGGAAAACCGAACTCTGCAACGTTGGATTCGCCGGGGTTGGCAGTCTTTCATAAACTCTCTGTTTGCAGCCTATCGTGAGTGGGGTTGCGGGATGTATGCTCTCTAATAAACAATCATGTTGACTGGTTTGTGCCAGGTGTGGACATACGGTTAGACAACGTGAGTCGAGTGCGGCACCAGCTGGTTGAGATCCACCCGCTGTTTCAGCTGTTGCTAGTCGCACAATTTGGGTTAGTTTGTCACATTTCTCTGTCAGTAGAGCAACGCACCTCACGAGCCGGTTGGCCATGCACTCAGCACAGAACCAAATGGAGTCTGATGTGCAAGGTCGTTCCTTCATTTTTGCCACACCTACGCACCGGGGATGAAAGCTCTTTTCACAGATATTACAAGTTATTGCAATCCGGATTGTTTTAGAGCACGATTTCAAAGCACAAATCACTTTCGTTTGCTGTTGCGTGGACCGACGAGCACTTGTTTTCCTTGTAGCTGTACTACGAACCATTGCCGAATTTTGCAATTTCGTCGTGAATGGCCAATCGATGAGATCTCCACAATTAGCAAGAGATCCTCAATCAAATTTGCACAAATAGAAAAATACACCAAATGAAATATATTGGTGCACAATTCACACAGAAAGATAACGCAAAACACAGTAATTCCGAAGCAAAAGTGGAATCCAGCACGTGAATCCAAAAATCCGCGGCTTCCGTGGGTACATCCAAAGAGCCAACCAGCCAACCAGCTTCTCCATCTACCAGTTTTCTAATTTCTTTCTCACACGTCCTCCTGGACGCGCCTTCATGCCAGTAGGCGAACGTTAATTCCGGCTTTTGCAAGTGAATGTGGCCGCTATAGCAGATGGACTTCACGCATGCGTCTGCAAATTCTGAGACTTTTTAATACCGCAAATCTGCACAGCTTGCTAGTAAGTCAGTGGGACAAGGAAATTGTCCCCGCAGCATGGAGTCGCTCCCTTATAATCCTAATTTTAAAATGGCTCTCGTCCTGAATGCGGCAATCCTAGAGGAATCAAGCTAATCTCGATTGTCTCTAACGCGCTAGCCTCCGTCTATATACTTAGATTTCCTGGCACCCGTGAAAGCCAGATTCGTGGGGAGCAAGCTGGGCGCACGTGCGCACGTGTGAACGTGGAACCATCCGTTAGCTCACACAGCAGATAGAAGAAGAGGAGGGAGGCCAAGGGATGATTTGGTCAAGAGGAATGACGGCCCTCCGTTGGAAGTTGGCGTCCATCGGTGTATCCACACTGCAGCGCTGCGGACCGATGGACCATGAACACCTTTAGTTAGATACACTTACTGACATGGCCAGGAGCCCATCTCAGTGGTGTTTGCGTTGCGAGTCTCTTTGTCACACCATCCGCTTTATCTTTCCCTTCCAACAACAATATGATGACCTTTAGAATAACGTAACATGTTTTAGCATTGTTTTGTCTGTATTGCCTAACTTCTCATCCCTTTTAGTTCGGTACATTAGCTGACGTGCGTTTCTCACCCTCGGCTAACATGTATTGATGATGGTGCTATCAATCGTTAACAATCGCCTCGAGGGGCTTGAGAGTGTCAGGCCTTTGACTGCTCATGAGGCTGTGAAAGACTCATTGGGGTTTACCTGGTGCTCATCGAATGCCTCGGGATTGCGGGGACAGCTTTGCTTATTGATCGACAGTGCCCACAACTCGATGTCCAAAAACAGCTGACAGTGACACTAAGCTTACTTTGGTAGCGTGCAACGCACCGATCGAAAAACAGTTGACTGCTAACGGGTTTCATGTGACATTGTTTTGCCTCCCTTGTTGGTTGGATGTAAGTGTCCCACGAGTATGCACGAAATAACAATGTCATCCCACAACATTGTTTCTCTTGTATTCTTTTTTGGAAGTTAATTGTCAAAGCAGACCCAATTCTGCTACTCAAAGGTCTTTAATTTTCGGGTGTATCTGATAAGACATAATGCTGATTCAAGTTCTGATTTTGAAAATCAAACCGTTCATGTGATTGAACCATAATCTCTACTGCTGACCGATTGCAAGTGACCGGCATCTTCATATTATTATGAGCTGAGATCCTTTTGTAGAATTTAACATACTCACTATGCTATTTTTAGTTCCTTCAGCACCAATCGAATTCCAAGGCGAATCCACTGACCCAACAACAATTCGTGTGCGCTGGAAAACACCTGATGTTCCAGATGGAAGAAGTTTACAAGACTATCAACTTCGTTATTATGCACTCGAAAGTGCAATGGAAGAACCCGTTCAAAGCGTACAAACTTTTTCGCTTGGTCCGGAGTCAACCGAATACGTTATGCAGCACCTGCACCCGAGCACTTCTTATCACATCAGTCTTGCTGGTCGCACTGCGAACGGAATTGGGGTGAGATCGCAAATAGAGGTGACAACGAAGGATCGGCGTAAGTCAATGAAGTTAAAGATGAACAAGCTTTTCGTTCGTTTGCACGTTGTGGACACACCGTACTCCACTCCGTACACGAGTCCTTAATAGTGCAACCGTACAGAACTTCTGTCTCCAAGACAGTGAATGGGGATGTCACCGTAGTTGGTAGAGAAGCGGTTGTTGAACATCGGATGAATGTATACTCCGAACCCGTTGTGTTATATGATCCGGGATATCGTCACATGTTTCGATGGGGAATACAAATCCGTCCTATCACTTGAGCCTATCTAGACGTCAGTTACATTGTGGAAGGTTGACACCAAGCTCTAAGTATGTACACGGTCTGGCACTCGGAACTACAATCTGGAGGCGACACTTGAAATAAAAATCGATATCATTGCTGACGTTGTTGCTTAAATGACCCAGAAGACGAACGCCTTTATTATAAGGACGAACATGAACATGGAATGTGAGCCGCAAAACAAGGGTAAAATTGAAACGGTTAAGGTACTTAGAAAGCTAGGCACAAGATTCCCAAAAGGTTGCAGATCTCCGTAGCACCTAGACCACCATAATTAGACTGCGATTTTGTGAACTCGGGGTCAGTAGCATCCATGAAGTATCATGTGCCAGTGTTTCTATTGACTTAATCATTGTTTCGGTTTTGACCACAGTGACTTCCTCTGTTCTTCGGCCAAGACATCACTGCATAAAATTGCCATCTTTGACACAGATCGTGTACGTTGTTTGGTGCCTCGTAGCGCTAATTCTTAAATTTACCATGTCATAAATCTTATTTATATCTAATTCATACGATTGATCGCGTTCTCCCAAGCGTACCTCTTAGACTTGGAGGATGCAGAACCTTGGGATGTATAGTGTTTCTGTTTCGAAAGACTTCGGTCCGGAACAAAGTTGCACAAAATGTTATGCCTTACTTGAAAGGATGTAAGTCATTGAGTTTACTTTGCTTGCATCGTAGACCAATGGAAAGCAAATACTGTTGAAATCGCTCCGTTGTCAATGTCAACTAATCTGCGTTGCAAAAATACCGTACCAACAAATATTTCAGCAACAAATACAGCGGAATCATGTTAAGTATGATAGTATACTAGGTACCTGGTTAGACTGCCGTTGGGTAAGTCACAAATCCGTAGAATTCAGTGCAGTTATATACTGTCATCTTCACCAAGCAGATAACAGCGGAAACAATGAGTGTGTTGCGAATTGACAACCAATTGCTACTCTTAGTTTGCTGTCCTAAGTAAAACGAAATCTGAATGCCCAGACTGTGAGATTGTTAAGCACAACCAACCACAAAGAACCAAACCATAACCACTAAATGTATATTCATTGAATCGGGACAACTCGATCCATAGGTGTATGTTTGCTTTCAGAATAATATGTTCGTTCGGCGGGTGCTTTTCTATCTCTGCAAACTTATGTACACTGTCCGAGTTCCATTGATATGTCCTCTGAAATCGGGGTTGTTGGTAATTTGTACTATTTCATAATCATAAATGATTGTGCCTATACCAGACGCATCAACGCTACTTTTTGTATGGGCCGTGGCTCGCCGAAAACGTGTGGGTTGTGGAACCGTTGATATTCATTGATAACATAGCGCTTTTGTGCAACTATGCGTTTAAGCCGAAATTATGGACACAGTATGACTTTATTTTCAAGTCAGAACTTTCTCCTGTGTACGTTTCCGGCAAGGCGCATCTGAATATTTTTTACGTAGCACCACTCCGGGATGGGGTTGGTAATTCGGTGAGATTAATAGAATATTGGATTTGCCGTGGATAAAACAATTAACGCATAGTCATATCCGTAGACAAAGAATAAAACTGAAATGAATGTATCAGTAGATGGCAACGTTAACGAGGGACTCACCGCAATTCGCACGTGCATGCACAGTTTGAATAAGTTGTTTCTTGTCCCAGTGAGTTGGGTTAAATCGTTTATTGCATGCAGTGTAACGCACAATCAAAACAAATTGCAAAATCGCCTAACCTTGGAGCGATGATAAGTACGGTAGTAAGTTCCACGGCTTGGATACAATGTAGAAATCGCTCCGGCGGTATTCCAACCGACTATGCTGTGCGGTCAGTTGCAATTGACAGCCCTTTCAATGGAGCCTTGCGACTGAGCTTCACTAACTGTTTACATGGGTGCTTTGGATCCTTGAGGATCTGGTACACCGATGTGAGATTACCTAGCAGAAGACGATACTGTCCACTGAAAACACTTCGAGTCTTTGGCCCAAAATGTGATGAGAGGCGAAGCAAGTCCTTACCATTCATAGTTGCCGTTCGTCGTAATCTTCGAAAGCGGTCATGGTTTATCCAGGGGCACCAGACCTTTGTGGCGTATTCTACATTGGGCTCCAAGTAACTGCCGGTAATTCGCAATAACATGTTGGTTCCTAGCGGCCAATCGCTCTCCGTAGTAGATCTAAAGGTTCGTTAGGCTTTTTCACTCCTTTGTCGGACTGCCTTGAGCAACCGAGATGGTCCTGCACAAGAACTCCAAGATCACCTTATGGAAAACGCGCTGAAAAAGGTGTTCTCTGGTGGCGTATGCTTATTATTTTACATTTGACATCAATAAATTAAAACTTGATCTGAACTGAGCATTCGTAAGCCGTGTTGAGATCATCGTGCTGTGCTATGTGGTTGTACACTCACTTGCGTCGTTCGCAGAGTCGAGAGTGTGTGCCAGTACTCCTACGACGTCGTTTATGAACACCAAGATTAGCCCTGGTTCTAGTACTGAGTTTTGAGTGACGTCACAATCCACATCTATTGAGTTGGCGAGAGTTCTACGAATTCACCACACATTCAAGCTGCGTGAGAGTAGGAATGCATACATCCAACCCAGAATCGGGTTACCAATCCCATAGCTCAGAGGCATGGACGGTAGCACATATAGCAAAGAATGTGTTCACCAGCCCTATAAACTTGGAGTAGCCCAGTGTAGATGTGTATTAATCTGAATATCATAGTCAGTCCACAGATGCTCGGTTTACCTTGATGGTCAATGTTTTCCTTAAACTTATATATTGCAGACGGATAATCCTACGGGATCCGTCAAGCCTTAGCTTTTTACGCGGATAATAAAATTGTTCCACGATTGATCCACGATGGACTCCGATCGCGTTTTCTCCTGAACCAAAGGTAGAGGAAATGTTGTCGACTTTTAGCATTCTGTCCCAGGGAGAATCGTAAATGAAGGAATACTGAAAACAAAAGTTCTAAACAGCTGCTATCATATCGTGTGCTTTAGCGTACGACCACTAAATTAGCGCTGCAGAAGCGACTTCAAGCGTTGACTGCGCATTCTGCGAATGAGTACTGATCTTTTACCATTCAACCAAAAACATGTTCGACTAATGGACAAAGGCTGGGCATTTCAAATTTTCTGTTATGATGAGATAAACTCTAATTAATTTATATAATATGGCTTTTGTTCTCACTGTCCGGTTCACATTTACCAACCAGTCAAAAGTATTAACTTAGGTTTCTAAACTGCTTATCACGCATCTTAAATGTATTAGTCGGCCTGTCACTTCTGATACTACGTCGCTGTCTATCCTCATATGCACACCACTGCAGCATTTGAGCTACCTGCTCCAACCGGGCTTCATTTACACTCTTTGACAAGTGATAGCGCCAAGCTTTGTTGGTCACGACCAAATCTGCCTCGATCCACACACACCACGCTGGCTTACGAACTACTGTTTGGCAATTCCATTGATACACTTGACCCGGAAAATGCCACTGCAGTGATCACACTCCCTCTGTCCATCTGTTGTTGCTTCTCTTTGATGCACTTGACCCCGGGGACAAGTTACCACGTTTGGCTTCGCCTCACTCAACAGCAAGTCGGCGGCCATAACACCCAAGTAAAAGTAACCAATCAAGCACAACTAGCGCCGTGGATTACATCCCCGTCCAACCGATTCTTAGGGCCAGTGTCCGAACTACAAGTCTTTTCCACATTGAAGACTGGTGCGTTACAGTCAGTTCGCTATGGCATGCAGCACAACGCCAACAACACGATACGCATGTCGCCTCTGTCAGCATGTCCACTTTTCCGGCTACTGCATCGTGTTCTGCCGTTAAATGCTTTTGATTAGAAAATTGTTCCTCACCAATTTGCTCTCTAGTGTGCATTGTACCACAATCATGCTTGCCTGTTTTCGCGGATCCGAATTAGTGTCAATGGAACAATGGTGTATTAAGGGTAAAAATACAACGCTTAACAATTCCCGTAAGGTGGAAATTATTGCGAAATTTAAATTGCATGATAAAATGGAAGGCGTTTTGGTGAACTAACCATAGACTTAGGTAGAATAGTGGAGATGTTCGCGTGTTAAAAGTAGAAATTGCTAAATCTATCGGTTGGGAGTTTTGTAAGATACCTTTTTAATTGCGTTTGGTAGCCCTTGGCTAACAAGTCATGAAATAAGATGCAAAAGGGACAACGCATCGTCAACTCGTTTTGTAAATGTCGCCAGAATGGGAGCAGAGAGGACATAATTAAGGCGAACGTTCCAAGGCTGGCACACGCGGAGGGAAGAGAAATTTCTATGGCGTTCAAGCCGGCTATACTGATTTTTCAATTTCAGAGGATGTCCTCTTATGTTAGTGCTGCCGTTCAATACCAGCAGCGGACGGCAAATGTGGTTTGGGTTCTTCAGAATCTGGTAAACCATTATGAGATCCCCCTGCAAAAGCCGATATCGACTGCTGTACGTTCTTAGAGATTTCAGTCTAAGCTGATAGGGCAGATGAAAGAAGCCCCTGAAGTTCTTGGTTGCCCTTCGTTGAGGAGTCTCGAGAGCAACGAGATCCTGTTGCTGCCTCGGCTGCTACGCCTGAATAACATATTCCACGTGCGCTTGCAAGCAGGCATTAAGCATTTGGGGAAGCTTGAGGGTTCAAACCGACCGAAGGCTCTGTGAAGCAGGCCGAAATGTTCTCGTCGCCTTCTCTGCTTGTTTTGAGCAGCCGAAGTCTTCCTGTACCAATACACTCTGGTCACGCTCGTGAGAGTCCTTCTGCAAGGTGTGGGCTCCAAACTTGCAAGCGCACACCTGCTGGGGACGCAGATGGAGCACCCTGCACTTAGCTATGTTCGACTGAAGCAGGTTCCTCGTTGACCATTCATAAATGCAATATATATCATAGTGGAATATATCGTGATCTTCGTTGTTACTAATAGCTTGCCATAACTGGACATCATCAGCGAAAAGCAGGAAATTTGAAGAGCTAACCCTTGCCTGGTCGTTGATAAACACCAGGAATTAGCGCGGTCCCAGCACTGAACCTTGTGGGACACCACATTCTACCCCAATCGGGTTAGAGTGTGATCCGCTAACGCGTACTTGAAGCTTTCATTGGTGAAGAAAGTTGCCAATCCAATCAAGCACAGGATCTTAGATTCGGTAGCTCTGTAGCCAGTGAAGTAGGATGCGTTGATCGAGGCAGTCCAAAGCTTTGGATTAGTCCAGACAGGTGACTTCAACTCCGAACCCATCGTCAGCCACTTCCGTCCAGCTACCTCGTGTGATCAGTAGCTTGGTGGTGCATGACCGTGGTTGACGGAAGCTATGCTGCTCCGGTGCCAAGATGTTGCATTTTCCAAGTAGTCCATTAGAGACTCAGCGACAACCGCTTCCATCGCCTTAGCGAACACAGATAGCAGAGTCACTGGGCAATCGTTTGCAGGCTTTGAAAGGTTAGCGCCTTTCAAAATGAGATGAAAACGCCACACTTCCACATGGTTGGAACTTATTGTTCATCAAAGCACCTTGGGAAGAACTGTGACAGTGATTCAGCTAGCTTGATCCCCACATCCTTCAGAGCTTTCGTCCAGATGTTGTTGTCTCCAGGAGAGCTATGATCGCGCAGTGAGAGTAACTTCCTTGGCACAACTGATGGGTTGAAAATTACATGTGTAAACAATGGAGTCGGTAATATGCATGACATTGTGGGACAGGTAGAGGTCGCGAGTGGGAAAATTGGGGCGTATTGTAGGCGCACGTCACTAGCTGCTTCTTCGACGTATTGTACTCTATCGTCTGTGGTGAAATGTGGGGGATGCCATGCTTTACTTTGCGAAAGCTGTTGACATCCCTATACAGCAGTTTGCTGTTTGCTAGGAATTTTTTTGGCTAGGCACTGTTGTTAAGTTACTTAATCATCACGAACAAGTGTAGTGCGATGGGTCGGGAAATTGCCACAAGTCACTGAGTCGGGGTTAATTTTGTAGGCACGCCATGCTGCATCCCTTATCGCCAGACATTTTCGAGTCCTACTCCTTAGAATTGAAGTCATTGTTGCGGGATAAAGCGGCTTTGTCTCTGATGCTCTGTTGACGATGTCGATGAGTCTATCAACGTACTCTGTCCAAACGTTGTCAGAGGGACCATTGTTTGAGAATTCCCAACCAGCTGCGTCGACGAGTTCTTTCATTATGTGGTAGTGTGCGATTGTATGAGTTACTTCCGAGTGTTCAGATGCGTACTCTGCATAACACACCTACTTGAACATTATTACTACATGGTCACTGAGACCTAATGGACTATCCACCAATAACTTGTCAACCATGAGCTTTTCATTCGTGAGCACGAGGTCCAATATGGACGGTTTGTTTGCTGTCCTGAATCTAATGGACGTGATGACATGATTGTACAAAGGAATATTAGCGATCAGTTCATGCAAGTCTGCCTTGAACTGCTCACTGGGTGATGCCGATACCTCCAGATCGTGTAGATTGAAGTCCACGTAGATGAGAATGTGTCTCTACCTAGGGCGTGTTACTCTGTTCAGGACACGTATCAAGCGGGAATCCATTTCCGGAGTGGACGTTAGGGGGCGGTAAACGACAGCTACGAGACGTGCGTCGTTGTGTCTTAGTGGGAAACTGCAACAGAGTTGGTCGGTAACGTGAGTTTCCAGCTCAGCAACTATTGCACATTGCAGGTCGTTGCGGTCATCATCATCATCATTATACACGTTAGCTAGAGGTGGGAAGCACCTCAGCTACTGTCCCACAATACATGAAAGAAAAAAGAAAAAATGCAACTGGTGGAAGCCGACTGAGCTACCGGTACCGGAAAGGCATCGTTCCGATAAGCTATCAGCCGGCTACTGTGCATCAAAAACTTACTCTGCAAATTTATATGAGGCTAAATGGTGAGATCGTGGTTGGAGGGGGAGACTAAGAAGGATGGGGTGGGACAACAGCACGAACATCACTGAGGTCGGCTCCTAGCCATATCAACAAGTGTATCCAGCAGTAGTGGTAAAGTAGGACCCCACCTGCTCTGCTAGGGCGATCGTTCCGGATCACTGACATTCCGGTTATCTCAACCTTAACATCAGTCACCTCTTGTCATCCGCGCCTTGCCACAGGCGCTCTTATACAATGGTTTTGGGTTAGCACCAACTTAGTGTTACATGGGTCGGTACTTGCGTTTGCTCTTAAGGGCAATTTCGACTCAAAGGTTCCGCTGGGTTATGCCTGCTTCCTATGCGCAGGCACTTACAGGAGCTATTTGGACTTGCCAAGGTGAGAGCCGCTTATTTTCATGTTTGCATTTCCAACTCAGTAGAAGTGACGTCACCCTGTATGTGTATGGGGTATTAAACTCCAAAGCATTTGACACCATACGGCTGAATTGATTGACTAATTCCTTCTAGGCAACACTAAGATATTGCTAGAGCATAAAAGATGAACTGGTTGTCTGAATTACGTTAGATAAAATGTTGTGGTGTCGATTCTTCGAGATTGGTTTATTCTGCATATGAGAAGTACCGGAACACCAGCGTCACGTGATGGCAGCCGCCCATGGAATACGAGATTCCTGTTTCAACATAAGTTCATCGTTGGTGAACACGAACTAACTAACTAAGCTAACTATTTCTCTTTGCAGAAATAACTATGTTAAAATTATAAGCGTAAGTATTGGACTGCCCACCAAAAGCCACTGGGACCTCGTGAGTTTGCAGATTAAAAGATCCTGAAGGAGAATGTGACAGTAAGACTGTACCCGAACGCTCTTCATCGAGATGAAGACCGCCGCATCAAAATTTCATAACGGTTGACCATTACTTGTGAGCGATTTGGCAGTTAACGCGATTTTGGTGCCAGGGATGCCATCTTCTATCACTATCGGCATTCTAGCTAACACAAAACGCTTGTACGGATGACTTTTAATGAATGCACTGAACACCGGCGTACAAGCACTTCACCGTCTGAAACATTGGATACCTATCTGAGATTACAGGCGTCAGGTGAGACATTGCGTCAAATTCTGTGGCGGCTGAAAACATTTGTTTTCGGTCAAATGTCGATGTCGATTCTACGGCCATGTCAAAAGGAGGTCAGGCCATCTATCATGTAGACCTCTGGTCCAAGTTCATGGTAAATCTTGCTGTTGCTTATTAGGCCTCGTCGGATTTCTAGGTGCAAGTACACTTGAATGGGATCAATAGTAAACCTGCTTTTATGTGCTACTGATTAAGTGCAACTGAACACTGACCACCTTTTGACGAAACTCGAACGACGGCGTTTGCACATCTAGCTCCACATTCCAAGTGTCTTTCCCTTAGTGAACATAGAGAGAAGAACTGCCTTTTGCAGGGGTCATTTAAACCACACGTTGTGTAAATAGATTGCGACGCGTACTCTCAATGTGGACCTCCATTCACGTAAAACTGAGCATTAGCCAATTCGATTAATGTGACCGAAACTGAAAAGATGGCTAGTGAGTGTTGCTTGCCAGAAGAATCGCACTCTTCAGTCGGTTTCGAATTTAGCTGAGCTCATCAAGTAAAGAAAGCAGACTTCAAGACCGGGTCAATAGAATGCTAACTAAAACACGTATCCCTTTGACTACCGAGACAAGACGGACAACGCCTATCACAACGGTTACTGACTGATAGGAGGGTCATTCTAAAGCACTCCTTACGTGAATGTTTTGCGAAGCGCAATATTAATG